AGAAGAGACCGAGAATAGGAAAAACTGTATAGCTATATTCCGTCTCATTCTCTCGCAGGCTAAATCCTATATGTTTGTCTTTTTTTCTCTCATTATTTAGTATAGCAGCCGTTTCATAGCCTCGTTACATAGCTCCGTTTCCGTTTCCTTACTTTTCAGATCACTCCCATTCTAAAGAAGTTTTCACTTCAAAAATTAATTTTCTTCCCTCCGGACGAAAAGCGTCAACTTTTCTCCCGCTGTTCAAAACGAAGTTGCCGCTTTCTGATTACGTCGAGCAGAAAAAATGTATACTCACCATGGGCAGTAAATAAGAAAGCCTCAGAGTATATATAATATAATAACAAACATGTGCTCTGAGACATTTCTTACTTTACCTCCCTAGGTGAGTAATATACTAATTTCCTATATTATTGTTTATTAGTTCCAGCTGCAATAATATCGTTCGGTATTCCTATCGTTGTACCATGGAGAGTCGATGTTAATATGGCGTGCCTCTCTGTTGGAAATCCACGACCTACAGTCGAGTGGAGACGAGCTGACGTGAAGCTGCATCAGAAGTAAGTAGAGGCATACTTTTCAAATCACTCTACGAGCGATGAGCAAAGTTCTTCGCTCTAAAGTAATCCTTTAATCTTGTTAGCGGTTACCTCGAACTTTCGGCATTATTTTAACGGCCATTTCGCTATAGAAAATAATTTTACACGTTACTTCGAAAGCCGTTAATGAAGCTGATGGACGTATAGAAATATCGAGAAAAAGAAAAGGAAAAAGAACAAAAATAAAAACTAAAATGAGATCGTTATCTTGTTAATACGAACGTAAAAAAATTTGTTTGTTCGATTATTATTGTTTCAGATATGATTTTGGTCCAGATAATACTTTGACTCTGAGGAACGTTCAAAGGAGTCACGAAGGTAATTACTCCTGCCATGTGAAGAATTCTCTTGGGTCTGACGAGATTACGTATACATTGCAAGTACAAGGTAAGTAATATTTTCATTTAGGTATATTAGCGAAAACGAAGTTATTTTTTAGGAATATCGATTTAGTTGTTTTTCTTTTCTTTTCTTTTTTCTTTTGAACTAACTTTAAAACTTGAAAAATAAGATATTTGTATAAAAATCAATTTGGCTAAGTCAAGATAGAAAATCCGTATACAATCAATTGAAAGTGGAAACTCGTTAAAACTTTAAGTTGAATGGTAAAATAGTCTACTTCTGCCAATACTGCGATGCATATACATAGCCTTTGATGGTAATCTTAGTGCACACAAGAAACACTTGAGGGGTTTTAAAGCTGAACCACGAGATAGGTCATCATAAGGTTACGTGTCGTCTTCCGTTTGCCATAGAATAAGTTCACACATATAAACAATACAAACATAGTAGAACTGATACGTTCTCGAAAGACGAGTGGAATATTCTCTTGTCTAAAGTCGAGCATTCTAGCGGACACGAAGTCTCGCCCGATTCGTGTTCGCAGAAGGATGGATTGAAGGTGGTTGTTGTATAATACTAGTCGAGTTGAGTCGAATTGAGTCGAGTTGAGTCGAGTTGAGTCAAGTCGAGTCGAGTCGAGTCGAGTCTGCATTGCCTTCCGCCCTTGTTTCGTCGTCGAACGTCGGACAAGTTCTAATTGGTAAACTTTATGCATAGTTCCACCGACTCCGCCGACGCTTCTGGCAACCGGCACAACGACCGACGCCGTTCAGTTACAATGGAAACAGGGAGACAACGGTGGTGCACCCATTAAAGGATTTCTCTTAGCTTATCGTCGTGAATTTGCTGAATGGGAGGAAGTGCTGCTCGACCGAAGAGCCAGTACGCATCTTCTCGAGGGTTTACAATGTGGTACCAGGTATCAGTTCACTCTCGCTGCCTTCAATAAAATCGGCAGCGGTAGTGCTAGCAAAATTGAAACTGCTAAGACTAATGGCTCAAAACCTATACCACCTTCTAAGCATCATCTTATCAAAGTTAATCAAACCGCTGCGAGTTTAGAATTAGCTTCCTGGCAAGACGGAGGCTGTCCGCTTCTTTATTTTGTTGTGGAATATAAAAGACCACCTGGCGATTGGTTGTTAGGTAAGCCATATTGTTATTCTAGATTTCAATAAACGTTAACAAGCTTTTCAGAAAAGTACACCTCCCGTGTACATTTCAGTTGAGAATAATTTACCAGCCCAATTGAGATATACCATCAATAATCTCGAGAGCGGAACGAACTACGAGCTTCGTGTGACAGCTTACAACAATGCGGGATCCACCCAAGCCGAGTACTTGTTCAGCACGCTGTCACAGAACGGCAACACCCGGCTGCACGAGGACCAACCCCAGGAAGCTGAAAATACGCCCCTATATCTTGACGCTCACGTATTGGCACCTAGTGTCATCTCGGTTCTCGCTGTAATCCTAGCCGTGGCCGGTGTTTGTTTTTGTTTGAAAACTCGTAAGTATTGTTTTCTTATTCATTTATTTTTATCCTAACCAACTTAAACAAATGACGTATTTGATATCCATGGGATTATGGGTTGGAGCTCGTAGAATGTTTTTTTTTTCATTCCTTTTTATTCAATACAAATTTTCTATTAATTTGTAAATTTTATTGGCAAATGAATTTATCATTATCTTTGTTTATTTTTCTCCATAGTTCTCAGTATCGTACGTTTCGATAGAACAAATCGATTTGCCAACGAGTCAATGAGAAGTGCTACCGAAGTTCATAAATCGACGTGTCGATAGGTTGACTGTATACGTACACGACCATCCCATCACCAATTTGCATAAGCCAGAGGGAATGCTCCATAGTACTCCCTTCCTCTTTACCGCTATCCAAGCCACTTGTCGCACAGACAAGAGTAACCAAATATCGAAGAGTCGTACTCCAATTACGAGAGAGAGGAAAGTACCAAGCTTTTAAGAGTTTCTACTCCTCACCGTCGTTGGGATTTCACTTGAACGAGTGGAAGGCAAGAACGACCGAAGAATTTCTGTAAAACTCACTTGACTTTCCTGTCTCATCGGTTTTTACTTAAACCAGACGATGCAATATCATTGATGCATGAGTTTGGAAACCTTTTTCTTTTTTTCATTCCTTTTTTCTACAATTTCTTTAACTAATATGGAAAGTGAATTTAACATTTTGACAAATACTTTATCTTCCGTAATTTTTTATAATTCATTCCTATATAGTTCAGAAATATTTTTAAACTCTTTTATGAAATTCTAATCCTACAGAAATTTATATACGTATATATTTCCTACGTATATCACCGTTTCTCTCATGGTTTCAAGGGACTACGATAGCTACCTAATTATACATTACTTCGGTCGAGTTAAATAATGCAGTAGATTCGGCCGTAACTTCGCACCGTAAACTTTCCTACGTCATTGCCTGTAATAGTTTCATGAGGGCTTTAAAAGCGTGGATGGCATTTGAAATTAGAAAACACGATGGCAATATCCGTTTACTAGGATCTCCTCTCCCTTTTCTTTGTTTCTTTATTTATTTCATTTTTTCAAAAATTATATTTTTAATTCTCTAAACGTATTATAATCGACGATTATATTTCGTTCACTACAGATCCGGAAAGATCAGGGGTCGTGAATGATCCAAATTCACAAACACAGGTAGCTCTGGACAATAAACAAAATACCGAACAAAGGGAACAATATTACGCGACTGTAAGGAAACCTGGACAACAATCACCACCCTGCCGTGAGGTGAGCGCCCTGAAACGCATACCAGAATATCCTGAAGACATTTATCCGTACGCGACCTTCAATGTGCCCGAGCAGGAAAATCCAACGCGACAAGCATTCTTCTACGAACGCAGCGAGACGATGCTTCAGGGTGCTCAAGTGAGTATAAAATATTTATAAGTTTAATATTATTAATTACTTATTATTATTTTTGTTTTTTGTTTTCTTTCCTTACAGAATAAAAGATTTCAGTGCGATGTGGATCAATACACAAAAGTACGTGGTCGAGCACGTCGCAAATCCAAATCATTCAAATCGGAATCCGAGGAATACGACACGTTAGGTTCGGACAGCGACACCGAAGTTGGTACCAGTAGCCGCACCGAATCATCCAATCATCTAGACGATTCCGGGCCAACGTCACTAATGGCTAGATCACCTGGACCAAACTCCGTCGGTCAGAGGGAACAACGACTAGCTTTGGTCCCGGTTCATCATAGTAAGTTAGTATTCGGTTTTCTGTGTCGAAGCCACCCACAGCTTTATATATTCAGCCGCTACTAACCACTCACCTTTACCGCATCAACGTGTCGCGTGCACATTCCAGATGTGCTGTACATTTCGAGTACATCAACGGAGCCGTCACCAATTTCTGAGAGGAAGACTTTTCCCAGACTCGAAAAACAAAGGTCAAATAATTGCGTCTTCAATGATTTTATTTTCTTTCACAATTGCATTCATAAATATTTTCTTTTATATTTTCTTTTATTTAATTAAGTATATCAAACATGCGATTTGACAAAAATTGTATAAAAAATATATTATTTTTTTTTTTGTAATATTTTTATACCTTTTATGGATTTTATTTTGTATACGTAAATACAATATTATTATATTCGAGACTGACGACATATCAAACTTTGTAGCTAAATTGGTTGGTAATATTTCTCTACGCAATTAAATATTTCATTTTAATTGTCAATTTATATTTTCAAGTTCGTTTGACTGCTAAATGTTTATTTATATTAAATTTTCTTGCTTGTTAAATAGTAACGTTATTTCTTTATTTAGTAATATATGTTTTCATGGAATAAATGTATTTCCATAGAATTATATATATTTCATGGAACTACATGGTATATATTTGGTCAAACGTCTCGTACTAGCAACGCTATTTGCAAAATATGTTAATAACAATAAATCTGTTTCCTGTTTATTTCTACTCAATTTTTTTTATATTTAATTTTACTTTCTTTTCTTTATACTTAAATGTAGCCCTTGATGATAAATGAGTTAGACATACCTGAATTGTATGAAACGTTAAACGTTACAATCAAAATGTTAATATAAATTTCATAATGGAATAGAAGTCGAGGAGCAACACCGGATATCTCGATCGATGGACGTGTACCAGGGATGCTGCGAGCCGTGAAACTCTCGGAATCAGGAATGCATCCTTACTCGAGAGGCACGTCACCGAGTCACCCGAGTCACCCGAATCGTCAAGGTTCCTGCGACCGATTAGGGAAGGAACAGAATTCGAGGAAATCGGTGGAATCCCTGTGTCTTCTCGAGGAACCAGGTTCTTCGAGGATGAGCAGGAGGGACGATGATTGGGGCAGCGAGCTTTCAACATTGGAATTGAAACCACCAACGGGCTTCACGGATGCTCACGAGACCAGCGAGGCCGAATGCGACATAGACATGAAGTTAAGACTTCACAGGAAGAGAAACGCATTAGCTTCTAACAGCTCGCTGTCTAAATCGCCGAAGGACTTTACTATTACTGTCTAAGTGTTAATCAAATATCAAACTACAATCGAAAAAAAGTAAAATAAAATAAAATAAAAAAGAAGTAAAATAAATCCAAAAACGGGGATAAAAGAATACAGAAATTTAATGAACGAACAAAAAAAAAATTAAATAAAAAAGAAAAATAAAATGAATAAGACATTAAAAATAATAATAATAATTATAATAATAATAATAATAATAATTATAATAATAATTATAATAATAATAATAATAATAATAAAAATAATAATAATAATAATAAAGAAGCATGCAAATTAAAAAGAAAAAAACGAAAATCGAGCATGATTGAGTGTTATTTCAAGGAAAAAAAAGAAGTTGCATTTCTTTGTCGTCGAAAAAAGAAACTCATTCATTCAACGATGAATTCGTTCTGCCAAAGCTGCTTCGCTAACACGAAGAATTTCAGATTGACCTGTCTACGAACAACTGCTACGTCGGCGATCCCATTTACAATAAAGACGTATTTTTGTAGAAAAGCTTCGATCTAGTGATATGCTTTTTTAACATTCTTTTCTAATTTCCTCTTCCTCTTCTTTATCCTGTACATAATATACATTACTCTGAGATATCTAGGATTAAAAAAAAAAAGAAAAAAAACAAGCAACAAAAAATAATCAAATTGAATTCAATTTCAGTGAAATAGGAATAAAAATATATATATATTTTTTTTTCGATCTAATCGCAAATTCAATAATTTTCTGACCATAAGTAATGATATCTAGTTAAATATAAACGTTGGCAACGTAAACGCCATTTAGTAGTTGCGGTTATAAATGAAACGTCAATCAAACTTAATTGCGAAGCTTATCAACAACGCGTCAATCAAACAGTATACCCTGAGAGACAGAAATTCGATTCTCCAACAAAATTCCAGAGAGGTAGTGGAATTTAGAGAGAAATAAAAAGAGAGAGAGAACGACTGTCATTGTCTCGTATCGACGGTTGATAAATAAGATATTCGTAACAAGTAGTTCGTTTTCTGATGTCTTCCGATTCTAGGTTCCCATATTAAGTTGAAAGAGAAAAAGAAAGAGAAAGAGAGAGAAAGAGAGAGAAAGAGAGGGAGAGAAAGGGAGAGAAAGAAAGCGTTTATTTAAAATTTTAATGCAATAATGTAGTTGTGATTCCTAATACATTTATTTCTTCATCCGTCATTTGTTAGATCACATTGAGTGCAAGTACACATTACAAATTTCGTGCTTTTCGTATTTTCGTTACATGATGCATTAGGCGTACGATTATTTCGTGATTTTCACGAGTTTTGAAAAATCTTTTTTATTATAAAATAATTACGCACACGCGAACGGTGATATATATATATATATATATATTTATAGCCATTCGTTCAGACCCGCTCTATATAAATTATTTTTTTATCAGTGTTTATAATAAATTATTCATCCGTTATTTTGTGGAACTATCATCGAGAAGAGTAACACTGTATTCATTTATTTCACTGTTTTTTTTCTAATGCATTTATTTTTATATTTATATACGTAATTCATTAGATACGAAGTTACATACGTATATATATATATATTAGGGTGTGTCAATAAAATCAATTATTTTTTTTTTTACAAGTGCCACGGAAAAATGAGTTAGACACTATAAAAAAAATTGTCACTAAATATGAGCTCTTAATTTTAATAGGAAGATCCTCCGCATCGCAGTTTTTTATTTTTTTTTTCAGTCTAATAGATTAAAATTTATGCCTCATTATTTATTGATTGTACAGAAAAATATTCTAGACGAATTTTGTAGGAAATTTAATGCTCTACAAAAAAGGTATCTTATATTTTTTCCGTAAACCTCAC